GCTTACTGCTTCAGTAGTAGAAAGCAGTCGTGCTGCTAACTGATGGGTCAAGTGTGACGGTATCTTACACATGTTTTCGAAGACACTACTTTTGTCACTGTTGTGCCCAGTGGCAATCAGATGGTTAGTAACTGCACTTAGTGTCATCTAAGTTTAAAACTGTTTTCTCGTTGGCCCAAATTTGCCCCACGATGTCGTAGTTACCCCATTTTACGATACTGTTTCTTAACACATATTGTCATTCTTCAGTCACCGTACATTAGACCTGTTTGTTATGCACCTTACTTACCTGGAACATTACCAAAAACATCATGTTTGTACCTAACTTGATAGAAATCTCAGGTGAATACTTTAATATCATCCTAGGTCGATTTCCGACTATGTTTTGATCAAACCACAGATTTGTCAAACGCACTGACGCACACAACAGACTTTTTGTGCATTTTCGCATCATCTCGTGTTCACCTCATTGCTTAGTTGCCGAACTGCCGGAGGTTATGCTAACTGATACCAGCTTTCCGCTCTACACATTAACTAACCCAGCAAGCCGCATTTTTGAACCTGGGCGCTCCTCCCACCATCTAGTGTTCATGTAACTCCCCTGTGAAACGAACTAAGTATGCCAATCCTTTTAGAGGGCACTGGGGCTCTGCCAACTTCGAAGAAGATGGGGGAATGTATTTTGATGTGTGTTGTGTAACAATCAGACAGTCAAAACAAGGTGCCGAGCATCAGCTACCAACAAAAAGGCTTGTTTATTAGATGGACAGATGGATGGACAGATGGACAGAACAGGACTAGATGGACAGAAAAATAAAAGAGCAATGAAGATGTTTAAAAATGGCTACTCAATCGCATGTAATTTACAGAACCCTAGTATGAAGCTCTAAGTGGCCCGTAGCCTTGAGGATCACAAGCCCGCCTTGTAATCCGAGGGCATGGGTTCTAGTCTGCGTAGGGACCGCGTAACCCTCACAGTATCCCTAGCCCAAGTGCAACTGATGGTGGTTGCGCCGCAGTGTAGCATCGGTATTGTGTACTAGCATACTGCTAATGCTTATTTATGACGCTCTATGGTGCGATAGTCATCAGACTAGCTGTATGTGGCCCCATCACTGGCGTAAGAACAGACAAGAATGTTACCAATTTTTATTCCTACGGAAAAAGCAGAAGACTTGTTTACACCAGTGGTGTCTGGTGCGCGGTAGAACATAGTTGGCCAGAGACACAATGGTTAACTAGGAAGCACGTATTTTATTGTTTTAAGCAGTCATCCAGTGCTTATCCTTAACCCGTGCGCCATTTAGGAGTTACTTGACGTTTGCTCTACTTGATGGGGTTCGATGTTCTTCCTTCATTTGATTCGTTTTAAAGCTCCGAGGGCTTATTACACGTGGAAATATTGCAGGTGACGTTGGTCCACGCCTGATGTGCTCAGATTTGTTCCCGTAGGTGGATGTGCGTCTTCAGATCTAGGAACCTTCTGAAAACACACTCCCACAGCAACCTGTTATGCAAGGATAGCGAGTAACCATTAGTCTGAATGCGGTTGAAAGTGTTGTAGACAAACGGAAATCTCGTTGCATTCAAAGTTGTAATTTACTGCTCCTATGTAGGAGAAATACGCTCAGGATGGCGGTAATCTTTTCCTCATTCAAAAGCTCACTTGACCCATCAAGATGGGGTTTGATCGCATGAAGTGTGTACAACATTACTGTGCACTTCTCTGGAGCACAGGTGTCACATAATATCGTTGTTACAAGACCATGGACCGGAAGGAGGATAGCACAGAAAGCAGATGGAATATCAGGTTTTCCGTCACTATATTGCACCAGAGTGAGGGGGCTATCCTGGCCTCTGAACTGCAGTAACGTGCAAGTTAGTGGACTGTGAACGAAGCTATATCACTTTTAGTAACTTAGTCCCGAGGGTCCTTTTCGCCACATGTAGCCCAGTGATCAGAACAACAAACTGGAAACAGTCGGGTAGCAGGTTCGAGCCCCACAGGTGTTAGATTGAATAAGCAATGCTGACGATTCCTGAAAGGATAAATCAACCACACAGTACCTTTCCGGGCGAGTAATGGCTGTCTTATAGAGCTCAAGTGTGACGAAGTTTCACTTATGCTATTCAGATCTCCCTACTACATCTTTGTAAACATAAAGGATAAACGCCATATTTTTAGCAACTTTGGTGTCGTACAGTTCCGTGGTTAACGTGCAACAATTGTTTTCCCATTATACCGCAACACTGGGTTTGAGTGATTTTTGTGATTCCCGAACATTAGCATTTTCCAGTGGAATCGCAAAATACGCTGCTCCCCTATCTCACTCATATGCAGCACCATGGGGATCAGCCGAAGCTGCTGTTCCCTGTAGCCCAGTAGTTGCTACACCCCTTACATGTAATCGATTGCAGCTGTTCAGTAGCCTTACACTGTTTCCACCAGTTGACAATAACTGTCGTAAAAGGAATAAACTGGTACGGCTGACTATTATACGTTGATGCCCAGTGATGGGTTTCACTATTTTTGCATTCCCCGAACAGAAATCGCTTGATGTAAATGGTGGTCGATGACACATTGGCTGCCCGCTGGAAGTTTTGTCGCTGTAGCTGGTCTGCCAGCACCCGTCTGTTGTGAGATTATGGGAGTATTAGATTACAGTCATAAAGGTCATCTGAGCAGATGGCTTCTGCATAGCTTCCCAAACTAGTACTGCTATTGTCCCTATAGTATAATGCATTAAAAAGCTTGCGAAACGAAGGTTTTTAGAATAGAAACGCAAAGTGACAAACAACCTCGGTGTTCCACTTAATTTGATCACTTACGCCCCTGCAGTCGTCGTAGAACAAGTGGCACGATGAAGACGTATTAACCCTATTTGAATCCGCATGAATTCTACCTGGTTGACTGAGCCTAATTTCATATGCATTTTGGTATGATTAACAGTATTTGCGGATTACCAGTGCTTGAACTCAGTACTTAGTTCCTTGATGTTTTCATAAGTTGCAATTTACAGATAAAAACAATTTACTTGCTGTTGTCACTGGATGTTTGCTGTCAATTGTTTCCAGTCAGTTCTTCTTTTGTTAACCAGTATGGAAAAGCCTTTTGGAATCGAAGAACCACACATCCACTTATTTGCCAATAACGCTTTTCATTTGGAGTAAGCAACAGAGTTTACGTTTGTGCAGCGTACGGATCCAGGCCTCAGAAGCGCAATATTGCTGCCCCTTCTCTGTAGCACCTATTAAAGCGCTCAAGTTGTTTACTGTTAGCATAATTTCACTAGGTTTGTAGCCCAGTGACACAGTAAAAGGTAGCCGAATGGGTAACGAATCAAACCGACACTCCAATGTACGTATCTTCATAAGTTGCGTGGTAGATATACTGAAAGCTCCTAGGTACCCACAGGTATTCCTTACAACCTCATGGGAGATTGTGCAACTTTTGAACTTGGGGCCGAAGGAGAGAAACTAGTTGTGTTGTAGCCAGCTGATCTGATTTATATGACAGAAACCCTAGTAAAGTCCCGTTGTACGAACGCATATGCTGAATGTGGCACAGAACGTATACCAGAATCATTAGCGAATGATATTTTTCGGAACTCAGTAGTCTTGCAGACACTCCTGTGGAACCAGCGACATTCTACTAATACACTGTTGTATTCGGGAGGATATTGAAATGGACATTCGTGGGTCGAAAGCGCTTGTATCAATCAAGCACATCTAATGGGACGTAGAGCCGGGAAGCAGCAAAACGGTTGGTGTTAGTTCTAAATCAATGTAACTCCCCATCAGAGATGCACACAGACCATTGACTAGGTGCAAGCGAAGAAATAACCATACATTTGGGCGGGAAAAGTTGCCAGGTGAAAATTAAAGGGGAAAGGTAAGACCGATTCTTATCTTAGGCCTCCTTCAGGAGGTCGTATTCCTTTGACATTACCTGGAAAGCTGTAAACAGAGGCAGTCAACTCGATTAGATAACTGGTGGTTTGATGTAGGATAGCGGCACCAGGATCCTTCAGATATGTAATAATGTAACAGCTGTTCCGGCACTGGCCTTGTACTATGGTGGAAGAGGCTGATTGGTTAAATTCATCGTGGCACTCATTATCACGACAAAAGAATGGCCATTTCGAATAATCAGTGGGTGATAATAGGTAGGGTTGAAAGATTTGATTTCCGCAGCCTCTAGGTTATTAAAACCATCTCTACACTTAATTGTTGATAGTTCCATTGATGCAGCGCACCTTCCTCTGGTACTCTTCTTCTAACCGACATTTGAATGATTGCATGAATGAATGAATGGGTGAATGGACAGTAGACGTTCAAACACATTGACAGACCTTTGCGTTATTTTCAAGAGAGGATATCCACCGTGTGATCAAACAATACTTATCCAAAATACTGAGTAGAATTCATAGGTGTCTGGAAACAATCGGTTGGTATATTTGTTGGGCAACGTTTCGCTTTTTACACAAAAGTTTCATTAGGCCAGTTGAATCAGTACTTACTTAGATTGGTATTTTATAGCGAACAGGGATGATAACCGCGGTACCCGAGACTTGCGCTAAGGTGTTATTACAATCACAATTTGCGATGTCACTTCAGGTGGTTCAGACACAGTAATATCTAGTAAACGACATCAGTCCGCAGTAGTAAAGAGTGGAATTTGACCGAAACTCATTGAAAAGCCAAAAAACATGACGCAGTACCGATTAAACTGCATATAATAAGCATTTTTTTAATACAGTGTATGAATCCAGGTCTCTGCTGAGCCAGCAATCAGCTTTTCAAGCGCATGAACACCATACGAACATGGATTGCCGTATATGACAGCCGTAGTAAGAGAAATAAAATAGTTGCGATCTTAGTGTAGTAGACTCTTTGGTGCCTTCACAGCCCCTCTATTCTACCACAAAAGTATATAAATGGTAAAGTGCTGAATCCGCAATAAAGGACAGGGTGGCCGTTCTACCGCATAAAGGACTCACTTTGTTTAGAGTTGACTAAGGTGGAAGTTAGGGCTTTCTCAAACGGCAAACTTCTGAACATCTTACATATCGTTGCTAGATGTTGGATAGGTCACAAAATCGCACTCACATCCGGACGGTTATGCGCCCGATGCGAATGATTGCGGAAACTCACTAAGCGAGTGGTTGCAAATTATAGAATAAAATAGCACCAACAACACATGTAAACCATTAATAAAATTTAAATACAACGAAATTAAAAGTTATTTTATTGGATATTCTATGACACTTAGTATACCTTGTTTTAATGCTCCGGATATGCTCGCTCGCTCAGTTGCATTTTTGAAATTCCTGGCGTGATGTCTCGTCACTTGCTTGGTCTGTCGAGAGGGTTGCTCGCGGCGCGTGTGGCGGTTTTAAACTCCGTTCGCCAACCCATGTCAATAATGTCTCCTCTATTGACTAAATGTGAAAGCTCATTTATCACACGGAGTCGTCGATTTTCATCTCAAGGTTCCATGTACTATTTCCACTTACTTTCCTTTAGTCGACCGGCAGTTCACGGAGGTTTTATCCAACGAAATCAAACAAGAAAAGGAGAATATGTATTCTTGTGACCCACCAGCCGGATTTTCGGTTATAAAAACAGAAGGTGCCGAAGTAGTTCTCCGTAAGGAATATCCCGACGGCGTGTAAGTTGCTGGTATCTTTTACTACTTTTAGCTCCGTCGAGGTTGAAATTAACCTGGCGGGTAGTGTAAATCCAGAAATAGATGAGGCGGATGGGGAGATGTCTTCTGAGAAGAAGGATGAAGTGCCTACTTTGGAATCTCGACCAGACATCCGGATTCGCTTGACTAAACCCTCCGGAAGATCTATTGTTTTCAACTGCAGCCTTCCTCCGCGGGACCTCCAACAACAGCAGGCCGAATCCGAAGACAGCAATATTCGTAAGTTGACAATTTCTGACGAATACTGATGTTGGATTATTCTCTGCTACTTAACCACGCTGAGCAGCGCCTTGACTGCCAGAGAGGTTTCCCTAGAAACTAAGACACCTAGTACAGCAAATAACCATTTCAATACCCTTGGGTGTTTTCGGTTTAGTACTCAAATCTGGTGCCACTGCCGGTAAACTGAAATCCTTGAGAATTTTGTCCACTGCGCAGCCTCACGGTATGGGATTTACACACTTAGTAGTTAGTTTTAACTAGATCATGAGCAGCATCTACATGTATGGGTCTATGTCCTTAACTTCGTGTCTGGTTCCCTGACATTATATACATATATATATATATATATATATATATATATATATATGATGCTAACTTCGTCAATGTTTACTTTGAATCTACCTTGCCCATGTCCAAAGAGTTCGATCAGTAGCCATTTTTCTGTTTCGATCTCCAATTTCGCTTGCAACCTTCAACGTTCGAACCCCCTGTGCAGATTGTACAACGAGCACTCTGGAGTCACTCGCTATTGATGCTTGCTGCCTTTTTCAGACTTGATTACAGGACTCCAGAACGGTAGTTGGGTTAGCGTCCCTCTCGGGACCAAATATTTCCTGCATTTCTCTGCTGACAGAATCTGCTGTTGTTTGCTTGGCTAGTTTCGGCACCACATTAAGGGCCAGAGCTGAGGCCTCGCTGTTCGATTGGTTCCCGATTGGCAGCTGATTATGTGTCGTTCGACTTCAAGACTCATGCAGTATCAAGAGACGCAATTTATAACTAACTAAATGTTTTATTCTCGGCAGTGCGAGTTACGCCTGCATAGGCATGATCATAGTGATATACCGGTGACTGGTGGATATAAAAGCGGCACAAGTTTATGAGTAACATGTGGATCTACGGATTGACCAATATGCAACACTTGCCCAAACACTCGAGACCCTCTCGGTCAATGTTTGCTGTTTATCGGAAACGCGCCTCCGTGCTTACCCTGCGATCCCCCACATGCCACACTTGCGGCACATTCTTATTGCGCCTGTCTGACGATGACCCCGCTTCAAATGCAGGTCAAGCTGGCTTCGGCATTGTTTTGAGTCCCTGGGCTGAAGCTGCCTTAATCGTCTGGCTCCCTGTCAAAAGCCGGATGTGCACCGTTAGACTGACTGGCTCGTTCCAGGTAACTCGTAAGTTATTACGTCTGCTACGGAAATAGTAATCAGGGGACCTGGTGTTAGCGAGACAATACGCGATGAGAGTGGATGGCCGCTCCACAGCCTGTCAAAACGCTTTGAGCGTTGGGCCAAACAATTTGCAAGGCAGTTTAACCAATCTGAATTATCGCTTTCTTTTTCGGGCATTGAAGTTGATCAGAAGAAAGCATGGATACCTTGGTGCTTGCTGGTGATCCAAACTCCCAAGTCTTAAAATTGTCCTCTGACAACGGTGAGCGGTTACTACACTTGTGTAAAGATGCTCGTCTTTTTCTCGCGAGCACTAATTTTCTAAATAGCCCCCGCAGAAGTTTGACTTGGCGCCCGGCCCAGCCATGGACGCAAATCGATCACATCGCAATTAGTTGCCGCTGCAGAGGCTGTTTCCAAAACTGTTGCTCGATTTGGAGCACCAGCGTGTACTGCGATTACGCTCTTCTGTGCCGACCTTCGGCTGTGTTTCGGCGGACGTCCACATCTTCGCTCTGAGCATATTGACATCAGTCAACTGGCAAAGTCAGGTGTTCTGAATCCGTATCAAAGTACGCTGGCTTCCGGGCTTTGTAAGTACCTTCTAAACACCGTCGAAGATCACTGCTTGTACAATTGACAAGGGTTACTACAAGCAGGCATGTCTACTTGTGGCAAATCAAATTGCCAACCTAGACATTGGATCTCCACAAAGTCTCTGGAACTTATAGATGCTTGCCGACTTATTCCGGCTGAAATCGAGTACAATGAGACTCGCAAAAGTTTCAGGACAAAACTGCGTGCTAGCCTGAAGAGAGACGGCGAAGCCTGATAGTTTCATCGTGCCTCGGAAATAGGAACAGCCGTTGCCGTTGATAATTATCTTAAGTTATTCCGTCTGGTACGGGAAATAGGCATCAGGGGACCTGGTGTTAGCGAGACAATACGCGATGAGAGTGGATGGCCGCTCCACAGCCTGTCAAAACGCTTTGAGCGTTGGGCCAAACAATCTGCAAGGCAGTTTAACTAATCTGAATTATCGCTTTCTTTTTCGGGCATTAAATGCTCTTATCCATTGGTCGTCACGTCAAATCCGCCATTACACACAGAAGTTGAACGTGAGGTTATATTGTTGAAATTGCATAAGGCCGCAGGAGCAGATAGATTTTCCCCAGCCCTCTTCAACTTCGCGGGATCTGCTTTTGTAAACAATTTACACGAGTTGTTAGTGGAACTAGGAGCTGCAAACTCTCCCGTCAAGTTGGAGCCGCTCCGTCATTGTCCTAATTTTCTAGGGAGGCTCCCGCTCGGAATGCGGCAATCATCGAGGGATCAGTCTGATCTCAATTGCTTCTAAAATACTTGCTTCTGTCGTTCTCCACAGACTGGCAATCGTGAAAGCCAGATACGTAAAGAGCATGCAGGGTTTCGTCGAGATCGGGGTTGTATCAACCACATCATCACCTTGCGTCAATTGTTGAAGCACCGCCATGTTTCTTGCCGACCCACCGCTGTCGTCTTTCTCAACATCAAAGGTGCCTACGATTCGGTTGATCGACGTGCTCTTTGGGACTATCTGCTGAAGGTGTGCCCGATAAATACGTAAACATCAAAGCGCTGTACGCGTACAGTTCGGGCGGAGTGAGTGTTTATGGCAAACTCTCGTCGCTCTTCATTATCTCCAGCGGTGTGAGACAAGGTTGCCAGCTATGACCTTTCGTACTTCACTGTTAATGAAGTCATGGAAACAGCGTTCGCTGGAGGTACTTCCTGGTGAACGACTTCCTGGTTTGGAGTATGCAGACGATACTACCCTAATCTGTGACAGCTCCTAATGGTGCCAAGCAGCACTGGACCGATTAGCACTGGTTGTCAATCGTTTTGGGCTATGCTTTGTTCCATTGAAATGCAAAGTGCTTCTCCAAGATTGGCCGGTACCCACTCCTTGGTGGTGATCATCTGGAAGTCTTTCAAGAATTCAAGTACCTGGGCAGCTATATCAGCGCTTGTGAAATCGAAGATGAGTTTACGACCCGTATAGCCAAAGCTCGAAATCCTTTTGCCAATCTGTGGCGCTGACGCGACATCACTCTCACCCTGAAGGGCACAATAGCGGTGTTTCCCACCTCTAGCTGACGTGTATAATGATGATGATGAAGGGCAGAGTTTATAATGTAGACCTCCGTTCAACCCTCTTATGCGGTTGTAAAGCCTGGCCCATTAGGTCGACAAACAGGCTCACAAGGCTATACAGTTCACCTACGAGGTAGAAGAAATCGGCGCTTTTCATTTTCTCTATATAGCTCTAAAGAGACTTAATGGTGTTGTAGTACAACGTCTCGTTTACCGAAAGGGCACTTGGAGTGGACAATACCTAAACTTTCATAGCTTTGCGCCGCTTCGGCTTAAGAGAAACTTGGTCCTCAGTCTCGTGATCCGGGCCGAAAGAAACTGCTCGTAGGATATCCTTTTCGGAGAGTTGCAAGGCATGCGATCCTCGCTTAACGTGGATGGCTACCCAGAGAATTTTATTAATGTCAATATGAGGCGAAACAGGGAGGCACCTACTGTTCTAAAGGCGGAACGGAAACCCATTTTCCTGCAACTGCTATACAAACGGGAAATAGTATCTATCCCGCCGTCTCTCGTCCACACTCTGGAATACCTTCCCAGCGGCGATGCTGCAAATTCAGTTCACCAGTAGCCCAATGGTGAGACTAAACCTCAAGGATAAGTTGCTTGCCCACGCCAAATCAATGTGTGTTTACTCCTTCACTTGTTCCTATGGAGCAGGTTACTTTGTTCGTACGACAAGACGCTTATCCGAAAGGGTGAGTGAACACCATCCGGTCTGGCCCGGAAATGGAGGCCAAAAGGCCACCAACTCTTCCGTTGCCGCGCACCTTGCGGATACGGGTCACTCTACCAAGTCGACCGATTCGTTCAAAATAATCTATCAGGCCCCAGTTAATCGATCAAAGTATTTCCATTAGCGGACGCCACAGAAGCCATCGCCATTCGGTTGTACGAACCAGCGCTGTGCACGCAGAAAAGGTTCACTCACGTGTTGAGTCAACCTTGGCCAGGATGGATTGCAAGTGACCTGTGCAAGCGTGCGACTACAATAGCTCACTCGAATCAATTTGGCTGACTGACGACCCATTGGGTCTGTATACAAAATTTTGCATTTCATGTACTTGTACAAGCCTGATAAGGAATTACCGATATTTTCGCTTACACAGACTTTTGATCAATCAATAGGTTTTTTCAATTCAATTAAACATGATGAGGCTAGCCACGTCTGACCATCGCTGCCTTCGCAGCTTAGCTCATGTCTGGCGGGAGCACCGCGTGAGACGTGAGCATGTTCGCCGTTGCGTATTTATTGCAGGAAGAGCTAGTAAACCGCTCAGCACCATTATATCACGCACCAGGCTCAGATTGCTGGGCCACGTGTTGCGCATACCAGCATACCGACTCCCACTACGGTCATTGTTTACGCGCCGGGTGTGCGATTCGAAGAAAAGGTGGGGAGGCCAAGCGAAGACTTGGACGAGAGAAATGGAAACCCTCACTTCAAAGTTGGCATCGGTTAGTGCATCCCGATTGCTTCGCTGGGTTCCTAAGGACGATGAACACGTTTGGTTGGACACACTTGCTGATATGGCGAACAGGCGGCTTCAGTGACGTTTGTGTTGTGAGTTTCTTTGTCCATCTCTCTGCCTTTTAGATTCCCCCTCCAATTCCGATCTACGCATTGCATAATGTAGTATTTAACATTATATTAGCTACTTTTGAATTTTTTTATCGTGTAAC